TATATATATATATATATATATATATATATATACTTTGACATAACAAAGTGTAAGCGTCTAAAGTTTCAATCCTGAAATACAGTAAACAGGAAAAGAAAAATAGCAAGCAAACAATAATATTTGTATTTGAATTAATGTGAAGGTTACAATCTTTATAAAAATCTCTTAAAAAGATATGTAATCTCCTTATTCTTCTCTCCACAGATGTTCTTGATTTGGCGGAATACTTGCGGCTCAATACTTGGAGCGAAGACTTCTTTGTATGCGGAAGACATGCAGATCACCAATGAAGAGCAATTATGTATTTCTGTGTGTATGTATGTGTATATATCTTTTGGTCTTATGAAGACCTCTTTATATAGGCTTGAGCTAGGGCTTTAGGGGTATTTTGGTCCAAGCAATTTTGACCCCTGGGCCTGAAGAATATGAGTTGGGCTCATCTTGTCAATTTAATGGGCTGGCCCAAATGTTATTTGGACTTGATTTAAGTCATATAATTTTGACATAAATATTAATCCGACTTTATTAACCAGTAATTTGACTTGGTCAACGTATCATGAATTTAAGATTTAATCCAAATTTAGTATGGATTTATCAATAAAACTTCACTGTCTACACAAAGTAAATGGATATCATAAATTTGAAATATTAAAATTATCATTTTTTATTAATGGCAAAGGCAAATTATGTTGAATTCCTTTTCTTCCTTCCACTATACGATGAAGATATTTTTTTAAAATAATTATATTTTAAACAAATGGAAAAATGTTAAGGTTCATGCTATAACATTTCTCTCTAGTTTTACTAAATAAAGGGAATAAGGTAAGCTTTGAGGTCTATTGACATTACCTAGTTTTATTTCAATTTTTAAATATAAGACTTTGATAAAAGAGAATTATTCAAGCTCGAAAGATTGTGAAATAAATGAATTTCTAAATATGCATAAAACTTTGAAATGTTAAACGAAAATAGATGATCTAATATGACATAAAAATTACATATATAGAAATTTAATCAAATTGATGATAATTTAGATATTTAACATCATTTAACTTAATGAGAAATTCTCTTACACATTATTGCACACAATCATTTTGAGATTACATTGAATTTCACCCTTATAAAATTACTTCAAATTCATCAATCAAAAGGGAAAAATGAGCAAAAACAAGACAATAATGAGTAAATGCTTTTCTATGTGAGAATGCATTTCAAGGAAAAATAGGTTATGCTTATGACTCCACTCTTATAAAGGATAATGAGAATTTGGAGATTTTTGGTAGTATTATTGTGTCTGCTGTTGATCTTCTATATAATCCTTAATCAGTAAAATGTAGTATGTGATAAATTCATGTGTTAGATCAAGAATATCAATGATGAGAAAACAATTGTTTTTTTTTAAATATTTTTCTTGGAAGAGAGCTACAAGACTTTCAAAGCACTGTCACTAAAATGAAGATGTGAACAACTCTACATCTCATAAATTTTATGGAGAATTAATATTTTTGTTCTATCACAATTTGCAACGTAATTAAACATTCACTACAACAAAAACAATTTTTAGCGGTATTAAATATTGACATTAATAAAGAGTGTTAAAGTCTTTACCAGCATTAGTTAAGTGCCATTAGAATCAATGTCGCTAAAGGCTTTAGGGACATATACAAAGAGTGCTAATTACCGCTAAAAATACATATTTAGCGACAATTAAGAATTAATTACCGTTAATAATCATTTTTGACGTAGTGATTTGTCAATTAGGACAAGTACCAAAAGTCTTCCTGAGTTATATTTTCCCTTTAATGTACCACAACAGACAAATACCAAAAAACTAAAATGTAAAATATTGATATATAAAGTAAAGGCAAACTACATTTACTCCCTTCTTTTCCTTTTCTATTTTTTTATTTTTTATAAAAACAAATGGGAATTTAATTGTTTATGCCCATTCTACAAAGAAACTTCTCTTTAGTTTCAAAATAAAACAGAAAAAAATTAAAAGAGGTAAGCTTTAATTTGAAGTCTATTGAATATTGATATGATACACCCCACTTTACCCCAAATTTTAAAATATTAAGACTTTTATGGAAGGAAATTATTCAAGATTAAAAGGTTGTGAAATAAATAAATTTCTCAATATACATAAATTTTTTTGAAGGTTAATTAAAGGAAAATGGAAATTCTAAACATGGCATAAAAATGAATATATATATATAT